CAAGGTGAAGAATGGGGGAGGAGCAAAGAAGAAAGAGAAAAAGCAAATAAGTAAGCTCTCCAACACCTACACCAACAAGGTGGACAAGAAGGTCTCCACACCATACTTGTTAAAGAAGAAGAAAAATAACAAGGTGATGGCCATCAAGGTGAACAAGCAAGCCAACAATGGGGTCAAACACTTTTGGGTGCCAAAGAAAATCATTTCCAACATAAAGAGCACCAAGAAGATTTGGATCCCGAAAGAGAAGTGAGAAGTCCAATGGACTTCAGGGAATTTGGAGACTTGGCAAAGTATGGATGCATTTCATGGGGTGCATCATTATGGACAAAGTTATTACCAAGTGGGTTAGTGAATACTATGGACTCAAATTCCCCTTTCCGTGTTAGGTAAATAGATTCAATTTACTTCAATTGGTATTAGATTTAAATTTTCCTACAATTGGTATCTTTTAGCATCTAGTTGCTCTTTATGCCTAGGTTTGCGTTTGAATTCTTATATCTTTTGTCATACATAAATTAGGTATATCATATGGTAGGCTTGTTTGGTTTCATTCTTAACCCTTGGAGCAAACCTATATGGTTTAAAATTAGGAGCACGACACATAGCTTGTCCTTTAATTGTTCATCTAATATGTGCCAAAATCCAAATTATAGATAATTTCTCCCAAATATCGCCTTCGAAAATGACCCTCACATTCATGTGATGTCATCTTTCAAGTAGTATTTTTTATTCTAAAATCAATGTGCATGTTTTCTACAAGTATTCCATACTTGTGTGCACGAATTTATGGGGAGGTTACTCTATAAATTGGATGCCTTGAGACTAACACCCTTTTCAAGCTTATCATGTGTGTAGTAGTCTCATTGCAAGAAAAATAGAGTCCCCCAAGTTAAGCATCATACTTTAAATATCCACCACCTATTGTAAGTGGTAGAAATCAAATTGGTTTCCACATATGGTATTTCTAAACCGATATCATCATGTTGATTTCATTTTGATATTTATATGCTTTCTCCATGTATTATATAGATTAAATTCCTTTGAGCAAAATTTTACCAATTATGCATATGCTTTGTCTTCTACCATATGTATGTATATATTTAGGGGGAGCTTAGTATATATAATGTGAGAGTCAAATTTTATGATCTATTTCACTCTACCCACAAAAGATCATAAGGTTTGACCCTCCCTTGTGCTACTAATGTCTTACTTTTTGGTGTTTGATTCCAAAGGGGGAGAATTTAGAGGACCAAAAGCAAGCATTAATTTATAGTAATGATCCGAGAAAGGGAGGATAATGGATTATGGATTAGCCCATGTAATGAGGAGAATTTGTAGGAAGCAAGGCTTAAATCCATAATACCATATGGGGACATTTGTAAGAGCAAGATAAGTTTTTATATAGTCTTACAAGTAGTATCTTTTAGCATCATATAATCTTGCCCTTTGCATTGCATCCTAGCAAGTAGGTAGTTTTTAAATTTCAAAATTTTATTAATTGCTTGCTTTGGTCGTGTTGTCATCAATCACCAAAAGGGGGAGATTGTAAGGAAAATGGACCCTAGGCCCATTTACTTTGAATTTTGGTGCTTGATGACCAACACAACCAAATTGGACTAATGAATTTGCAAGTGATTGTTTTGTAGTTCAATAGGATGCAAGACGTGACTTAGACAAAGGCGACGTGATGATCCAATGATCAACACCTCAAGCAAGACCTTAGGAGCACAAGAGAAGACCCAAGATATCAAGCAAAGTCCAAGCATGAAGATAGGAACCAAGCCGCACGCAAGATCGCAAAGAAACGAGCTCACAGCAGCGACCGGACGCTGACGAAAAGCGACCGGATGCTTCGATCAGAGGCTCGGCAACAGCAGCAGCGACCGGACACTGGACCGGATGCTGGCGGCAAACCAACTGAACGTTGGATAGCAGCGTCCGATCGAGTACAGAGAGGTTCCAGAGCGGCAAACTTGCGACCGGACGCGTCCGGTGGCAAGTGACCGGACGCTGGCAGCGTTCGATCAGTTGTTCGCGGCTCCAACGGTCGGGACGACCAGCCGCGTCTGATCAGGACGACTCCAGCGTCCGGTCAGTAGCAGAAAAGCGGGATTTCATCCTTCAACGGCTACTTTCTCAATGGGGCTTATAAATACAACCCCCAACTGACCATTTGAGAAGTGTGGGGCTAAGGAAACATATCAAGGGTATTGATACACCATTTTAGTGATCTCCACTTGCATAGTACTTAGTGTTTCATTAGGTGATTAGCGTAGGTGGTTTGCGAAGTGCTTATAGGTTTAGGCCTAGTGTTTAGTGATGTTTGCATACCTCTTACCACTCGGTGCTTGTGCATATCATTGTTGTACAACGGAGGGGTTTGTAGTCTTACGAGATCACACCAACCGCGTTTGTGGTGTGGCCACCACCGTGTACCAGAGGGAACAAGGCCCGCGGCGTTTCGGCCGAAATCTTGATAGTGAAGACGGCGGGCAGCATCCGGGAGAGGCTTGCCGGAAGGCACGTCGGAGACCCACTTGCGCGTGGGGAAGGCCCAAGGCTATCCACGGAGTTACCCAACCGGGAGCTTGGCCCTTGCGAGGGGCTCCAACGAGGACTAGGGGGAAGCTTGCGCGCTTCTCGATACCTCGGTAAAAATACCGGAGTCGTCGACGGGAGTTTGCATATCTCTACCTTGCTCTTTAGCTTCCGCATTTACATTGATTGCATTACTCCTTTTACGGTAGAGATAACAACACACTAGCAAAATCGTAGTTGCATATTTAGATAGTTTATTTTTTGCATAGATTTTGCTAAGGTTAGAAAAAGAGGCCATAGTTTAGAGTTAGAATTTTAAGTTGCCTAATTCACCCCTCCCTCTTAAGCGTCACGGTCCCCTTCACAGATATCCTACCAAAATCGATGATTCTTTCCACCACAAGAGACACAATGACGTGGCATTACACTAGCACTCATATTTTCTGTACCTCTGGGTGGAGGCTGCGATACCGATACCGATACCGCACTACGTGGTGGCCACGCCACGATTCCAAATGCACCATAAACTAGAATTGATGTTGTACTTCCTCTCATGTGTGGTAGCAAAGCCAAACCTCGCCGGTGTCGTTGCCTTCATGACACTCCTAAAATTCACCAATTAAATATACTTATGTAATATATCTATTTTTATATAAATATTGATGCTCTTCTTATAATATATTTAAACTTGAGATAATTTAACTTAAAATAAAACTAGAATGACATTGTTGCGGTGAAACAGGAGTGTGTAAAACCCAACGTCTATGGCCTTGTTTGGTAGTGCGGTTAAAAGAATATTTCTCTAAGAACCTGAAAAGCAAAAGCACAGTCAAAATAAATTGGTATCCAATTTATGCGTTTTAGTGTAAATGGTTGCTGTGAGAAGAAGCGTGACCGAAAAAACTATCAAAAGACGTGTCAAATTTTAATCTTAACTTATATTTTAGTAGTAAATAGTTTATAAGTTGTGTTCGTTTGTTTACATTTTATTGTATATAGTCACTTATATGTTCCACTAAAGACTTCATGTTTTAGTAAAGGTAGAGAATGTGAAAATATTTTATTTTGTGTGTCTACCAACTTATGAAAAACTACATTATTTAATACGAAAAAGTCCGGCATACTAGCTAATATTGCATTAGTCTGCTTTTAGCCCTGTGCAAGCCTACATAAAAGTCTTTGTATGCAACCAAAATTAGGCAAAATGCACTGTACAAATATAGATACAGACTAATGCAGGCAACCAATGAGAACAATAAAATTCATATCCCCTTTATTTTGCTCTAATTCCAGCCTAGAGGGTTCATTTGGATCCATGAGCTACTTAAGCCAACCTTCTCGGTATGCCATTGTAGGAATCAGAGATGGAGCCCTGACCGGTCAGCTCCCACCGGCTTTAACCGCCTGTTCTATGGACAGTTCCTATTCCTCGTGGATATTAGAGGAGATTGAGGGGAAAATTAATTCAATTCATTTTCCTCTCAATCTCATCCAATGGTGTATCAAACTAGCCCTCAGGTTCCGTGGATTTCTTTCTTATAACCGAGCATTATTATAGTTATAGCTAGGGGAATGTACCACAATGACAGACAAAACCAGTTTCACGGCGGCGCTTACGGCCCATTGTCTATCAGATACCGGCTGAGCGCCTGAGCAAGTGAGCATGGCAAGTTGGCAACGCAGAATCAACTTGCAGCAGCGAAAGACCAAATTGATGTTGGACTCTTGTTCGAGATCGCAACCAAAACGGGACGCGCCACGGCGCCAGCACGCGGATAGTGCGTGCCCACGGGCCTGTTCGGCAGGACGGAAAAATACTGTTCCAGCTGATTGTTGTGAGAGAAAAATATTATTCTGGTATGACATGAACAGTGATTTTGTGAGAGAAAAAACAAGCTAGCCGGCTGGCTTAAAGCCAGCCGAACAAGCCCCACAAAACCCCACTTCATCCGGCCCTAGACCCTAACAGTCTGTCTACTGCACAACTATGTGTTTTATGCAATTTCAATATATAAATTTTTTTTTACCATAAAATTAAGATCCAACAGCCTCCACCTTTCTTCTACCTTCAGACAATCACAAGATCATAGATCCACAGATCATAGATCACATATAAAAAATAATTTTTTTTATGCAAGGACAAATTACACAGCGATTGGTTATATCCCGTTCGTAATGGATCGTCGCGCTGTGGGGCCCCTGGACAGTCCACTTGGTGCTGCCGCTCAGGACACCTGCCCACACGATAGGTCGAGGCGCAGAAAGCGAAAGCGCGCTGCTGGTGCAGCGCTGCCGCGTGCGCTCGCCGTGTGTTTCTTTGTGTAAAAAATTCATGGGTTTTTTCTTCCTAAAACATATGTGTTGTATAGCATTTCTAAACCCTAATCAAGAATTCTCATCGTCCCTCGTCAACGCCACCCACCCACCCCATCCCCGTCTCAGCCTCGCGCGCCGCCACAATGCAGGCCGCCGCCGCCGCCGTCCGCCACCCTCGCCTATTCCCGCCATCCCGGCCCGCGCCGCGCGGCACCAGCGCGCACCCAGCACCGTGCGCATGGCACTGCGCGAGGACGGGCCCTCGATGGCCATCGTGGGCGCCACGGGCGCGGTGGGCCAGGAGTTTGTAACACCCCTGGTGTTACGAGCTCGTTTAGCACCGCGATTTATGCCTAAGTCAAATTTTCGAAACGAGTTTCCTGGATTTTTTATTTAAAACATACTAGACGTGATGAGTGGATCCAGTGACTCAGTTGTGGGGACTCGAATAAACGCTAGTTAAATTACACCGTGCGTAGAAATATTTAGGAATGTCGAACGACGATTCTAGCAAATAAATAGCGAACGACATGTTTAATTGATTAAACACGGAAAAAAAATTTATAAATAAAATACGATATGACTGGTACATAGTACTTAAGTAAAATTCATAGTATGATTTTTTGTTGCATTTAAAATAATAACGAAAGTACCGCTGAGTAGCCACTACCTCCGTTGTCTCGTCGAACTAATGGCTATATATATATATCATATGAGTCTTACTAGTATGACAGAATCGTGTAGATTGCTATGCTATAGGACTCCGGTAGAAGTCAAGTGATTGCCTGTCACTCGCGAGATGTAGGAAATATATTATTGAACTATTATCACTTGGGAAATAAATAAATGGTGGAAAGGAAAAATGGTGACCGAGTAGAGATATGGTTTGGGTATTGGTGGGTGTAAGAAGTTGTGTCGCCGTGGACGCGGGTCATAGCTTGGTTACACTGTTTTCCCTGTCTGTATCAATTAAGGACCGGTCGTTGTATGAGCCTTTAGGCAAGTCACCGACTTATTATCCCGAGCACACACTTGGGTATGGACGCTTGGAAGACTTGCTGCTCTCTTGTCGTGGATCCGCTCTTCTCGGATCGATCGTCGTGGTTTATTTTTGTGGAGGAGGTCATTGCACCGCTCTGAGTCTGGGACTCAGGGGCGGGGGCTTGGAGTCCCAGTTTGGATATATATATCTTTATCCTATGAGCCTTACTAGTATGATAGGATCGTGTAGATTGCTATGCTATAGGACTCCGGTAGAAGTCGAGTGATTGTCTGTCACTCGCGAGACGTAGGAAATATATTATTGAACTATTATCACTTGGGAAATAAATAAATGGTGGAAAGAAAAAATGATGACCGAGTAGGGATATGGTTTGGGTATTGGTGGATGTAAGAAGTTGTGTCGCCGTGGACGCGGGGCATAGCTTGGTTACACTGCTTTCCCTGTTTGTGTCAATTAAGGACCGGTCGTTGGATGAGCCTCTAGGCAAGTCACAGACTTATTATCCCGAACACATACTTGGTATGGGCGCTTGGAAGACTTACTGCTCTCTTGTCGCGGATCCGGCTCTTTCCGGATCGACCGTCAGGGTTTATTTTTAGTGGAGGAGGTCTTGCACCGCCTCGAGTCCGGACTCGTGGGCGGGGTTTGAGTCCTGGGTTTTGACGGGACAGGACACCCGGTGAAAAGAGTGATGGGTTGGTACTACTTGTGCCTGTGGTACAAGCGGGGCGTGTGTTTTCGAGGTACCCAGCTGGGGACATTGATTCGCGAATCGCCGAAAAATCCGGTACGGCTTGTCTATGGTTTAGCATCGTAGTAAGAACTGAAAGATGAAAGATGGAAGAAAAGGAAATCTAATTGCTTAACACCTGCTTGAAAGTAGCACAGGTGCTTACATAAAATGGTTAGTTAATGAACCAATGCGGTTATTAATAAAAAAAATCGAATATAAGGACGCACGCTTAGTAATGCTTTATGCAAATGCAATAAACCCACAAGCCAAATAGCCTTGCATATTCTTGGAGTCTTTTCTTTACTCCTATCGGGTAAGTTTTGCTAAGTACAATTGACTACTCAGGGTTTTATTCCCCCTGTTGCAGGTGACAGGTGGATGCTAGAGCTAACTCTTTGTGTGGATACCTCCTGGTGGGCTCAGCGAGGATTCCTTTACGCTGCGATCGTAGTTGTTATTTATAACTCTCACCAAATGCTTTTATAAATGAAAGTTTCATAATCTATTGTCGTAATTTATATATCAATACTTAATCATGTCCTAATTATATATTTATTTCCGCTGTAATTCTGATCACATGTTTAGATTTCGCTGTTCAATTAAATTGTTGATAATATGATTTCATTCCGCTGTTATATTAATAAATATTATACTCTGATGTTGTATTAAAAATAATGTAAGAAATGGTTCAGAATGATGTAAGCTTTATTCTCTCATTTATGATTCTAATGGTAAAAATATAGATTTTTGAGCTCTCTTCTGGGATATGCCCGATCAAAGTAATTTAGTGTTCTCGTTTAGGTGGTTAGTATCTGTTACAAAGCAGGCACTCGATTAGGCTGTTCTGCCACAGAGTTCCTTCGCGTCATCACGGTCCGGGACTTCCCCTACCGCAGCCTCCGCCTCCTCGCCTGCCATCGGTCCGCGGGGAAGCGCCTCGCCTTCGAGGACCGCGAGTACACCGTCCAGGACCTCGCGGCCCCGGGGGCGTTCGACGGCGTCGACATCGCGCTGTTCAGCGCCGGCGGGAGCGTCAGCCGTAAGTATGGGCCCGCGGCCGTCGCTAGAGGCGCCGTCGTCGTCGACAACAGCTCCGCGTTCCGAATGGACCCCGAGGTGCCGCTCGTCATCCCCGAGGTCAGCCCCGAGGCCATGGGGAACGTCCGACTCGGGCAGGGGGCGATTGTGGCAAATCCAAATTGCTCGACCATCATCTGCCTCATGGCTGCCACGCCGCTCCATCGCCACGCTAAGGTACCACTTTGGGCACTTTTTGGGATGTCGGAAGCATCATCCATATTTCAATAACTTTAATTTGAAGCGACGGAAGGCTGATGCTGAAGAACTGTATAATTCACATGCTATTTAACGGCAGAAACCAAACATTAATCTCTGGAATTATGCTTCCTAATACTAAATAGAAGTACTATCTTTCCAAAAAAAAAAGTATATATGTATCGTATAGATGAATCAATACATGTAATCGAATATTGGACTGTCTAATTTAGTTCTTTTACTTTAATCAAGCTTGAAGATAGGGATCATATTAACAGTCCACAACATTGCAATGACTCGCTTTCCTGCTAGTATTTGACTGTTCTGAATCTTCGATCTTCCAGTGTAGTTTTAGCCAACAAAATGGCACATTATTTATTCTTCCATGTTTCCGAAATCCAGTGTTCTGTGTCTGTCTGGAAAAAAAATCTTCATTATTGAATTGATGGCATCACATCATTTCGATTTTTTTTGGTGACAAATCCTTAGGAGTTGATTATTCAAATTAAGGTTTGCAATAGGGATTAACCATAGGCTATTTAAGACTTGTACTTGACTGGAACTGTCTTGCCAATTCTGTTTTAGCCAACAAAACGGCACATTATTTATTCTTCCATGTTTCCGAAATTCAGTGTTCTGTGTCTGTCTGAAAATAAAAATCTTCATTATTGAATTGATGGTATCACAGCACGTCGATTTTTTTTGTGACAAATCCTTAGGAGTTGATGTCTTGATGATTCAAATTAAGGTTTGCAGTAGGGATTAACCATAGGCTATTTAAGACTTGTACTTATCTGGAACTGTCTTGCCAATTCTGTTTTTTATATGGGTTGCAGATTTTGCGGGGGGAAGGCTTGCCTCGGTTTTTTCCTTCCCTAGACCCCACTCATGTGGGAGCCTGTGGCACTGGGTCTGCCCTTTATATGGGTTGCAGATTCTGCTTGAATTGCTAATACATTTGTATGGTGAGCTATTATGTTTCTATCACATGTCTTTTTGCTACTAAGATAACTTTTTTTTATCGTATCTGATTTGCTTGTTGACTGCCCTCCCTCCACGGTCAAATTAATGGCTATTTGTTGACTTGGCAGGTCTTAAGGATGGTTGTCAGCACATACCAAGCAGCAAGTGGTGCTGGTGCTGCGGCAATGGAAGAACTCAAGCTGCAGACTCAGGAGGTACATATTTTCTTCTCCAAGTTCCCCTGTCCAGTTAATGTGTTTGTTTGGTTAGTCACTCAATGTTTTACACCTTATTTTAGGTCTTGGAAGGGGAAGGCGCCAACACGCAATATTTTCAAACAGCAGGTTGCTCTGGCTTACAAATTGAAGTATCCTGAGCACATATCAAATTATTTTAGTCATGAGTTCTTCATGCTGAATATCTTTGTCTCTTGTGCAGTATGCTTTTAATATATTCTCACACAATGCACCAGTTCTTGAGAATGGGTATAACGAGGAAGAAATGAAAATGGTGAAGGAGACCAGAAAATTTTGGGTTAGTCTTTGTGGTCCCATTGGTCTAAACAGCTTCCTGTGAAGTCTGCATTACTCTGTCAAACTTTTCTTTCATTGTGATAATTTGAGCAAATATGCCTTCTAACTGTACGGTCCATTGCTAGAATGACAAGGATGTGAAAGTAACTGCTACTTGCATACGGGTTCCTGTGATGCGTGCGCATGCTGAAAGTGTCAATCTACAGTTTGAAAAGCCACTTGATGAGGTTGGTATTCTGCATATTATGTGCTAGCTAGCATTAAAACTTCTCTGTTCGTGGAAATATGTTTGTTTCTTTCATACTATTCTCTTTTGTCTCTTTTGTGCTAAGTGAATTGATTCTTGGAACCTGCCACTTTGTCATCTGGATAGGTGTTTTATTTGAATTTGACTATTTGTAAATGTGGCAGAAAACAAATTGGTTATGTTTATGTTGTAGTATAATATTGAGAGGAGCTCCTGGTGTTACCATTATTGATGACCGTGCTTCCAATCGCTTCCCTACGCCTCTGGAGGTATTTTGATTCATGCTCATCAATACCACCGCAATACTCACTATTCACACTCTTATACAGCTGTGCTGTTCCAGGAGAGAGAAGTTGTTCGAATGATTTTACTGACAAGAAGTAACCCTGTCTTTCAGGTATCAGATAAAGATGATGTAGCAGTGGGTAGAATTCGTCTGGACTTGTCCCTGGATGATAACCGAGGGTATGTATGATAATGTTTGACAGTTACAGTTGACAGAAGCATTACCTCATTGTGCATTACTTGTGTATGAAAATGAATAAGGAATTTAAGGATATATCGGAACTAATCATCTATACAATGGCAGGTTGGACATATTTGTCTGTGGTGATCAGATACGTAAAGGTGCCGCACTCAATGCTGTTCAGATTGCTGAAATGCTCCTGAAGTGATTACCCTCTTGTCTTTCTCTCCCTGTCCCTAATTGCTCTTGATCAATGCTGGACTGTACTCTGATTAGTTTGTGCTCAATTTTGGTCGCCTCTTCTGTATTCTTCCGTGCTAGTGCAATAATTATGAGATGGGCTTGAGTTATCTGCTGTACACAAAAGTCGGCTTGTAAGTTGGGGAATAATGGGCCATCCTTATTCAGCACTCTGGTTTATATCTTGTTCAGATTCATCTAACACTCCACCAGTGCCGGGTTCTGTGGACCACAGGGCCCAAAGTGTCCTACGGGATTTACACTTTCATGTGCAAGAATAGGGTCTGATTGTAACCTGATCCAGAAGGCCCTGTGGGCAGCTCTCTAGGGCAGGAAGCATCTGTTGCAGTTGTACTGAAAGGTGCGCAACGATAAGCGCGTCCTGTTCGCTTAGCTTATAAGCCACATTTTTTCAGCTAATGAACAGTATTTTTCTCTAACAATAAATCAGTCAACGGTACTTTCAGTCATGCTTATCAGCCACACGAACCGGGCAAAGAACATGAGAGTTGAGAGGACAAGTTAGCCAGTGAACTTCTGTGATCGCTTGATGTGCAATGCCACTGTATGTATAATACTTGGTTCAGTAGGATTAGGTGGTTTGGCGTTGTCTTGTTCTAACCTGCAGTAACTTAAGGTAGATATAGTCATATAGATGACACTGGGAAGGTCACCTTTTCTTACATTTTTTTACTGCGAAAATATCTGACAGAAGAGGGTGAATGCATGTGCTTGTCCGCTACATCTGATTTGTAACCACCCTTCACGAGGTTAATCGAGTTCACCTCGAACAGAATGTCCTTGTATTATCTAACTACAAACTGCATTTTTAGCAATATAATATTCACACCACTTGTATATCAAGATAGTAACACCTGGGGGCTTAACTACTATGTATGGGCAAAAGGGCAAGTTGTTTGCGCCCGTAACTTTTCATGTGTTGATTTTACTTCTTTATCTCCACACGTATTTGTATTGCATCTCAAGTTTTGCATGTATACGTAGATGTTTGCATTCTCTACCCTTTTTTTTTTGTAACTTTTTGTGTAACTATGTTAGGTGCTACCTTGTTTGGTGACACGGTAAACACCGTATGGGCCGGTAACGCAGGATATGTTTTCGTATCCGTGCAGTGCAACGCATAGACCATTGCTCACCGTTGTATGCCTGAATGCCTGATGCAGCCGCGCACATGTCGATTATTCATGCAAAAGTTTTAAACCATATATATAGTTGCCAACTAAGGGGGTGTTTGGTTCTTTAGTCGCTCCTAAAATTTATGTCACATCGAATGTTTAGATACTAATAAAGAGCATTAAATATAGACTAATTATAAAACCAATTACATAGATAGAGGCTAATTTGCGAGACGAATTTTTTTATGTCTAATTAATCCGTCCTTAGCACATGTTTACTGCAGCACCACATTGTCAAATCATGGACTAATTAGGTTTAAAAGATTCGTCTTACAAATTAGTCGTAAGTTGTGCAATTAATTTCGTAATTAATCTATATTTAATACTTTATTCATCGTCAAACATTCGATGTGACAGAAATTTTAGGTGTGGCTAAGAACCAATCAGAGCCTAACAGTCTTGTTGATAGGTGACGAAAATTTCCAGGAAGTGTACTGGGCAGTTGTTTTTTTACTGCTCACTGGTACTAGCAAGGAGCAGCCAAGCAGGGAGGACGGTGGGATCAATCAACGATGGATCCCACTCTTGCCGTTCTGAGGTCTCACCGTCTCAGTGTTCATTGTCCAGCTGCACCGCAGCGGGCTGGTGGCAGGACCGACGCGCCGCAGTCAGTCAGCACTCGTACCAGGGGAGTAACTGAAGGACTGGAGTGGGGCCGATGCGTCTGCACCACCGAGGCACCGACGCACGTCTCATGCTTCAGTCATGCCGGCCTGGCTGTGGAGATGAGCTTAGGCTCACACAAAACTTGTGCGTGATAGAATCACATTTCAGCACAATGGACTTATGGACTCTGGAAACTCTCGCCCTGTTCTGCAGCACTTTTCAGCGAATGTTTTTCTCTCATGGTATTTTAGTATAAACTAAATTTCAACGAACGAAACGAACAGGGCGTCTCATCTAGTAGCTCCCAAGCCAAGGGTCTATTAAAATAAATAATACACAACATTATTATGACCTGGCCAAGCGGCCAGTGTACATAACACGACATCATCTCCATGCATGCATGTCCTCTCTCATGTACATACTAGTAAGAGTAGTAACTAGTGAAAGCAGAAGCTTCGGAAGGCAAGCAGAGTACCGGTAGCTAGGACAGAGATATATCATTCTCCAGACGCATGCATAGCCATCCAGAGTCACGGACGGTGCGCATGCACGGATGCTACGCATGGCGGCCAGCTGGAGCTGGTGACGGCGAGAGGCAGAGAGGGTCCGGACTCCGGAGGAATCATGGGCACTTGGGCCTGGTGCGGTTGCCGTGGCCGGTGGTCATGTCGCGGTAGCAGGGGCACTCGTCCTTGTGGCCCGCGGTGCCGGACGGCACGCAGTTGCAGCTGGCGCAGCAGATCCCGCAGTACTTGAGGCAGTCGTCGTGCCGGCTCGCCTTGGAGCACCGCACCCCGCACTTGCCGTCGCAGAACGCTGCCCAAATCCAAAGGAAGAAGGAGAAGCTCGATCGTGTGAATAGAGTAGCCTGCCCAGCACCAGAAACGGCATGAGATGATGGAGCTGCTGGCGGTTACCTGATCCAGCCATGGAGACACGGAGGGAAGGCGGCGCCAGGAGGAGGAAGAGGAGGAGAGCAACGGTGGCGGTGGTCTCAAGCTTCATTCTGCCCACCTTGTCTGCTACTGCTGCTCCTGGCTGCTGCTTTGTGTGAGGTTTGGGGAAGCAAGGGCGCTGGTGATAAAGCGGAGTGAGGGTGGTGGCTTTGGGGGTTTTGGGGGGGGTGATTTATACGACCGTCCGTCCTCGGCTTTTGCTCGGCGGTGCTGTAGCCTGTAGCTGTAGCTGGCAGCTGGAGGCTCTTCGCTCTGGCCTCTGCTGGGTATGTTGCCTTGCTGCGTTGCAGAGTTGTTGGCTTAACTCGTGGCCTGGCCGGTGCGAGTGTGTGAGCATACACCGTGAACGGACCCCATGTCCTCCTAGTGTTGTATTGATGAGATGTGAGCTGGCATCCAAAAGGCTGACCTTTCTTTAAGGGATCGGAGGTCATCATGCTTTACCATGGTTAGTTCACATACATACCAACGTATGCGGTATACCAACACTGTATGACTGTAGCTGTTCCTAGCCTCGACTACGTAGTACGTACACGCTGTCAGACAACTTTGGCACCAGTAAATGGTGGACTAATAATGGTGCAGCTGAAAATTGTAGGTGGGGTTGTCTGGAGAGGACACTATATCTTCGGTGGCATTATAACGTCGTGTGTATGCGTGCTTGTTCAGCCTGAATTACAAGACTGTGCAACTGCAAAAGCAAAGTACTCCAGTTGTTTGCACTCTCGCTCAGGCCTCCCCAGCTAGTGGCCAGGGAGCGATCAAAAGTACGAGACGGTCCATCACCGTGTTGCCTGGCCTCGTTCTCTTGTCTTAAATTTGGCTTGTTCGGCTTATTTTTTCAGCCGAAGCAGTGTTTTTCTCTCACAACAATTCAGCCGGAACAGTATTTTTCAACCAGTTTCAGTCAAAGTTCAGACCAGCGAACAGAGCCATATGTGGCATGTGGGGATCGGATGAGCATGTTAGCAATATTATGCATGCCTTCCAATCGCCGTTGTCAGATCAGCTGGGGGACCGGACAAGGGCGATGTGGAGATACGCGTGTACATTTACTTCATCTAGGCGTCTGTTTAGTTCCTCCCAAAATGCTAATTTTTTTAAGATTCTTCGTCACATCGAATCTTTGACGCATGCATGAAGCATTAAATATAAATAAAAAAATAAAACTAATTACATAGTTTAGATAAAATTCACGAGACGAATCTTTTAAGCCTAATTAGACTATGATTAGATATTAATTGTCAAATAATAACAAAACGCTACAGTAGTATTTCGCCAAAAATTTCGGGGATAGCAGTCAGTTGCCGAGTTTCAAAGTCGATCGCCTGTACCGCGTCAACTGTTTCTCGTGCCACGGCGGCGCGGCGGGTGTCAAAAATGCGTGCCGACGGCCCTGGAGCGTGTAAAGTTTGGGACATCACATCTGGATATTAATAAAATAAATAAATTATAGAATCTACCAGTAAATCACAAGACGAATTTATTAAATCTAATTAATTTATTATTAACACATATGTTATTGTAGTAATTTATTATCAAATTATGGCTAATTAGGCTTAAAAGATTCGTCTCACTAATTAATTCTAAACTATATAGTTAGTTATTTTTTAATCTATATTTAATACTTTATGCATGTGTCAAATATTTAATATAATAAGGTGTAAAGTTCTAGGGTGCGAACTAAACAAGGGTCGAGGCTCTCACTCTCAGTGTCCTCGCCGGGTGTAAAGTTTGGGGCTGCTATCTAAAAAGGGCCGAGGCTCTCACTCTCACTTCCTCGCCCGGCGTGCAGTGCAGTGCTTCTGAGTCTGGCAGCTCCCGCATTGTTCACATCACAGCGCTGCCGTCGGTCCAGTCCGATCTGAATGTGCTGTCTCCCTTTAGCCGGGCAGGTGGAATTGATAGGCGTCTGTTTACAGGAATTCTTCGTACGCTAACGCCCTGTTCGCGTGGACGCTGATAAGCCAGGTTTAAAATACTCTTCACTGATTTGGTGTGAAAGAAAAATACTATTTATTAATTGAAAAAGTACAGTTTATAAACTAAACAAACCAAAATGAACAAAATGTAAGAGAAAAATACGGTTCGTTGACCCACACGAGCAAAAGGGAATTAACCTGGAACGTTCGCTAGTCACCAGCACGCGTGCTCACTCATCCTCCCTAGAGATGTGGCGTGCAAGAGAGTCGCAGCCGCAGACACACTAC